GCATTAATATCTATTGGATCAATTTTATATGCTTTACCACTTTGTTTTAATCAACGTTTTTATACTTCTATTCATCTGTTTACTCTTAATATATGTATTACTATATTTCTATGTGCGACATTTTGGATGGTTTATTTTTTCATGAATACATTTTATTCGAATATCTTATGGACTGAACAATCATGTTTATTAATACTTTATTTGCAAACGATGGTTAATTGTCAATTTCTTTATGCTTTATGCATTGTTTCATTAAATCGATTAATTGCTATTTTAAATCTACATAAAAGATTATTTCGAACAAAAACATGGATTATTAGATGCATTATTGTTCAATGGATAACTGGAATACTATTGCCATTACTTCAGTTTGATTCAAGTCTTATGGTACTTATCTTGTAACAATTAATACATATATCTATTTGTTGATCTTTCTTTTTAGCATTGTTTAATATCAGGTCTTGACCTTAACTATCAAATATATGCATTATGTATTAGTGGCATATTGCCTGCCATACTGTTAGCTGTGACAAATATTATTATTTTTAAGTTTGTTCATCATTCAACACGTCGTGTTCAACCAATGAATAATAATGATAATACTATATTAGTTACTACTCTAAGTCAACGTTATATTCGTTTATTAAAACATATACTTTTTATGTTTGTTATATTAATTTGCGGGTGGATACCTGCGTATATTGTCGGAGCAATTGATTGGAATGGAACCGCTATTTCTTATGTTGTATTTCATGGTATTACAATGTTACCATGTGTAAGTTTAATCATCAATGTAATTGATTTATTTATTTTTAATCGTAAATTACGAAAATATTTTCTTAACATACTTCGTAATAATCGAAACTAATAACAATAAATAGTTCTATATTGTTTTATTGATTAAATAAATGAGATACTATTTTCGTTCATGTTTCTTTTTTGTTAAATATACTTTGGCCATGAGAATGTAAAACTTAAATCTCACAAGATCATATAGTCATTGGAATAACTATTACTAATTATGCAAATTGCATACAAAAATGTTGAAGCTTATATTTCTGTTATTATGAAGATACTAAAAGTCTAATTATTCGAAACATATTCAAGAACTCGTTGTAAATTTTTATAGGTATACGGATTCTCTTTATTTCATTCTATAATGTTAATTAGACTGGTGTGAGTAGGACCACATCCATTTTACTACAACTAGTTTGACTACGGATATGTGTACAACACTCACATCCTGAATTAGATACGCACACTGAATACTACAGGAAACAAAAAATCTTATTATTTTACGCCTATAAGATTATGATTATATATTCAACTATGGAAATTCATTACTGAGTACTTGGAAATATATCTGTTAAATGTTCAACTTGAATAGTTTCTCAAAGAAATATCTAAATACCAGCAATCAATGTGTTTAATAATTGAATTTAATTATTCGAAAAAAATATGAAAAAGAATATTTAACAATTAATGACTATAAATTCAAATAATATCTTGTTCTATAAAAACAATATTGAACAGAAAATTAATAGTGATTCAGAATTTTTATTTAGTATAGTTAAGTTCTTATTTGTTCAACAAATTATAGAAATATTTACATCTTCTAAATCATTCTAAACGAAAAAACTATTCATTGAAATATAACATATCTCATCAACTCAGTTGTTATATAGCAACAATTATTCTTTTATTTGGTATATGTGGAAATATTCTTAATTGTCTTGTTTTATCACAACGAATTTTTCGAAGAAATTCATGTACTTTTCTTTTTTTTTTGTTTCATCAATTATTGATATTCTCCGTCTTGTATTTGGTGTTACTACACGTATTATGTCAGCTTGAAATATGGATCCAACAAATACAAATGATTGGCTTTGTAAACTTCGTGCATTTATTGTATTTACTTCAAGAACTCTCGGGTACATTAAAAAATGCAAAGAGAGATATATTGATAAGAAATATTCTATCGATTCTTACCTATACTCATATGCTTTATTGTTATCAAGCCAATATTGTCAATGCACTATTAGCATGTTATGGAAAAAATATTGTCTGTTGGTTTATAACTGTGTTAACATGTGCAATTATAACAATTTTTATTTTATTAATTTTAATGATTTAATATACTCAATATCGAATAGAAATTAAAGCTGTTATAATAGGCCCAACGAATTTTAAAAAACTTATCGTCATTTACTTCGTATGTTATGTATACAAATTTTTCTTCTAATCATATTTTGTATTCCACAAGCTATACAAAAGCTTTATTTTACATTTCATTCAGTTTCTTTCAAATCTAATTTACAAATTACTATTGATAATTTTTTTATATGATATTGAATTATTACTTGCTTTTATTACTAGTGGTATGCCATTTTATATTTATACATTATCAGGTAGAAGTGCTTTTCGAAAAGCATTTTTGAATTTGATACGAAAATATATGCAGTAGAGTTTTATTGTTATTAGTATATAAGTTTTTTTGTAATAAATACTATAATGTGTATCTATAAGAGTAGCTCATATAAAAATATATTAATCTATTTAATCATAAATAGATGAAGTTGAGATACAATAACTATATATCGTGAAGATCTTTTTCTGCAATACATATTTATTTTCACAATAGAGTCAAAAATAAATTATTAACTTTTTTCCACGTCTTCCAGATTGTTTCTATACCATTGAAGATGCGAGTGGTTTGATGGTAGTGATTGCTGTGCAATATCTACAGCACGTTGACAGAATGAAAGCGCTTTTGAATGTTGACCCATCCTGCTATACACATTACCCACATTCCCAAAGGACATAGCCAAATCAGGATGATTGGGAGGAAGTGATTGTTGTCGGATTTCAAGGGCTTCTTCATGAGATGAAAGTGCTTTCGGGTAATCATCCATGTTGTTATGGACTAAGCCAATGTTGTTGTAGGAAGCAGCCAAATCAGGATGTTTGTAAGGAAGTGATTGTTGTCGGATTTCAAGGGCTTTTTCATGAGATGAAAGTGCTTTTGAATAATTACCCACGGTTTTATGCACTAAACCAATGTTGTTTTAGGAAGCAGCCAAATCAAGATGATTGAGAGGAAGTGATTGTTGTTGAATTTCAAGGGCTTTTTCATGAGCTAAAAGTGCTTTCGGATAATTACCCATGTTGTCATGCACTACACCAATGTTGTTATAGGAAGAAGCCAAATCAGGATGATTGGGAGGAAGTGATTGTTGTTTGATTTCGAGGGCTTTTTCATAATAAGAAAGTGCTTTTGGATAATTACCCATGCTGTAATGCACATTACCAATGCTGTTGTAGGGATTAGCCAAATCTAAATGATTGGGAGAAAGAGTTTTTTGATAGACAGCACGGGATTGTTCATAGAATGTAAGTGCTTCTTGATATTTCCCTTGAGCCGTCTTTATCGAACCAAGTTGAACATAAACAGATGCCTTGTCTTTATCATCCGTGATTTGATCAAGTAAAACTTGACAAATGTCTTCAGCTTTGCCAGCTTGACCCATTTTCCGTAATACCGAACCCAATCTGTACCATCCTTCCGCGTCTGGACGGCTCTCTTTTCGAATATAATCTGTAAGTCTGCTTAGTTCTGGATCGTTATCAGCAGTCAGTACCAAATGAACTTCATGTAAACGATTATTTCTACCAATCTGTTTAATATCCTGTATACGAAAAACGCTATGCATCGAAAATAAGACTTCCTCTTCTCCTTGGAAGTTGCTGATTCCAACAATTGAAGCAAATGGCGATGTTGATCGAGATGGATCAACTTCCATAACGAAAAGTATTCCAACTAAATCCGGATTATCCTGATTGCTTTCCGCAAAAGCATCGGATACTTTACGATCTTTACTTGCAGATAAGAAATTATTGAATGAAATAAGACCACCTTTAGTTTTGCTCATTTTTTCAAAATCCCTTGTAGATAAACCTTGACCACGGTAAACAGTAAAGGTGTTAGCAGCAGTTGCACCAGCATATTGTTCCTTGTGCAGTTCTTCAATCTGTCGATGCAAATCACCAATGAAGAAACCCATACGTGTAATGATATCACCATTCATCAATCGTAATGCACGATTGAGCATGGGATACAGGAACATGTCACAGGTGTACCAATAAATGGGTGGTTTGTTGTGATATTCATCTTGCAATCGTTTAATGTGTTCAATTTGTGTTTTATTACCTTCAAAAGTTTGATGACAGTAATCAAAATAATCTTGGATGTGGTTTTGTTCGAATTTGATGGTTAATATAATCTCCTTGAGGATCTGAGTGTACATAAAAGAAGGATCTAATTGATCCAACTTTTTATTTGTTCCCACAAAACTCATGGGCATAGCATTTTGCTCACATTGATGAGCAGCTTCCTTAAGTGCTTCACAGATGAGTGTAATATCTATGAAGACACCCTTTATTTTGGGCCAATCTTCAGCCCATTGTTCATGATATTTTTTATCGACACAAAAAATAAATATTGAATCAACTTGAGACATATTGTGTACACGAGGTACAACTTGTTGTCCAAGTGAGTCAGATACAATCATGCATACCTTGTTATCGACAACTTTTTGAATAAATTCGAAACATTGATCAGCATCTATGAATGTGTTGATATCGTTCACAGCAGATCGTAATTGTATGATTGTATTTTGACAATCGTCGTTGTTCTTGTCAATATTCTTGTCTAACCAGATTAGAAGAACATTTTGCATTCGTTGGAGACTGATACGTCGACGATCTACTTTACGTTTTGGAATTGTAGATGCATTTGTTGTTGATTTTCTTTTGCTCATTGTCTGCTACGTGAATGATTTGAATTGAAGTTACTGCGTAGCATTTACTAGTGAAGTAATGATCAAAAACGACTCTTTTTACAGGTGTCTACTTCCTTTCGGAATGTTTCTTCTTTAACTGTATATAATGTTGCTATGAAGAGCAACACATGCGGAACGAAAAAACAAGTGATAAAATATTGTCATGGTTGACTAACTATTGAAGTAACTTGCAAAAAATAAGTATTTTATTTACGTTGACGAAAAAGAACGTGTTCAGTCATGTTTGTTATTGAAGAATCGGACGTGAAGAAAAAATTATTTATATTGACAATTATATGAGCAATTACACAAGTTAATCACATATTTTTTGATCGCGAATTAGGAGACATAGAACCTAAAAGACCTTTAAAATAGGTGATATCATTCTCATTGCTGTATTCTTTTGACTGAAAGCCTGTCTATAACCATTATGTATGAAAAATGTAAATAATCTTGAGATTTTAATTAATTTTGATGACAT